TGCAGCGGAAGAAGTATGTGGAACGACAAAAAGAGGTAGTTAGACTTAAAAGAAGAGATGCATGGTGGAATGATGAAGTGAGAGAAGCTGTAAAAAAGAAGAAAAAAGCATGGTTAGACTACTTGGCCTCCAGTAACGATAAGCATATGAGAGAGAGGATGAAAGAAAGACATAAGCTGCAGAAAATTCATGCGAAAACACTGATTGAGGATGTACGTGAAAGATGTAGAATGGAAGCGGACGAAAGGTTGTCGCACAACTTTAAGGAAAACTCCAAACTCTTCTGGAAAGAGGTTGGAAGGTCTCGGAGTGGTGCGACAGCCTTAAGAATGAACAAAGTGCTTTCGAGAACCATTGAAGTCCTCTCAGAAAAATCGGACGTCATGCAGTAATGGAGTGAATTTTATAGATAAATGTATGCGTGTCATGATCTTAGTGAAGGATCCGGGGGTGACGCAGTGACTGGCACGCCAGACACGGACCTCGATGACACTGAGGTCATCAGCATGAAAGAGATTGAACGTGCGATTCAAAGTTCGAAATGTGGTAAGGCTGCGGGAATAGACAGGGTTACTGCTGAAATGGTCAAGTACGGTGGGCCTCGCGTCTGGGACAGCTTTCATCTGCTGTGCAATTTGTGCTGGCGGACGGGAGGTGTCCCGGATGATTTTCGATCCGCGGTCATTGTGCCTTTATATAAAGGTAAAGGTTCACATTTTGACTGCGGGTGCTATCGGGCAGTCAGCTTGACCAGTTTAGCAAGCAAAGTTTACTCGAAGGTTTTGACACGTAGGATGCAAGAGAAATCGGAAAGATTTTTATGGGAGGCACAATGCGGATTTAGACCTGGAAGAGGATGCACGAATCAAATGTTTTTTCTCCGCATGGTCACGGAGAAGCTGCTGAGTGTTAACCAGAAGATTTTCTGTGCTTTTGTGGATCTGGAGAAAGCATTTGATAAGGTTATAAGGAAGAAAATGTGGGAACTGTTGCCGGAATATGGTGTGGATGGTCGATTGTTAAGGGCTGTGTAGTCACTTTACTATGACTTTAAAGCCTGTGTGCGGGTAGGGCATGACCTGTCACCCATGTTTAGCGTCCAAGCGGGCGTAAAACAGGGTTGTGTCATGTCTTCCTGGCTGTTCATACTGTATCTCGACAGCTGTTTACAGAAGCTGAAAAATAGCTGTTTGGGCGTGAAATTGGGTGACATTAAAGTTAATTGTCTGCTGTATGCTGATGATGCAGTGCTTATTGCACCATCAGAAGCAGAACTGCAGGCATTAGTCACGTGTATGAAAGAGGAATGTGAAATTAAAGGTCTCCGTTTGAATGCTAATAAAACTAAGGTTCTGGTATTTGAAAAGGACGAAGAGAGAACGAAATGTGAAATATGGGTAAATCAGGAATGTCTAGAACAGGTAAATGAAATTGTATACTTGGGGAGTGCTTTCAGCCGGGATGGAAAATGTGATTTAGATGTGGACAGGCGTGTCGCTGCCGGGAACAAAGTCAATGGTGCCCTGAATGCGTTAGTCAAAAGGCAAGGCATAGTGAAGAGTGCACGCCTTGCAATACATAACGCAGTGTTGGTGCCGACTTTGTTATATGGCAGCGAAACCTGGGTATGCCAGAAGAAGCATAAAAGCAAGTTGAATGCAGTGGAGATGCGATCTCTTCGTAAAATGTGCGGCGTTACCATAGCCGACCGAAAGCGAAACGAAGAGATTCGCAATATGGCAGAATTGAAAGATGACCTTATCACAAAAATTGATTGGGCGTACTCCGATGGTTTGGGCACGTTGAGCGAATGAATGAAGACCGAATGGTGAAGAAAATATATTTTTTTTATAGGATAGGGTGACAAACGAGCACACAGTCCATCTGATGGTAAGTGGTTGCTGCGGCCCATAGACATCTACATCTATCTTCCATTACAAATCAAAATGCAGATGCGTTGTCACCCGTGAGGACTGAGATGGAATGCCTCATTTCCAGTAAAAAGGGTCTCCGGTTCTCTACACTCACCATACGAAATACAGCAGCATTAAGCTACTATTTCACGCTGGTATTCTGTGAGAGCGTGGTCCTTCCCCGGTCGAGCCGACCCATTCGTGCTACAACTATACTACTAATATAATTGCAGCATGGCTCTACCACGTTAAAAATATAGCGCGAAAGTAAATATTAAAAGGTGTCGAGGTAGACCGAGACTAACTTTCGAAGACCACGTGAGCAAATTACTCGAAGAGGGGAAGGTGAAGAGTACTCGGATACCTAGACGTGCATGTATGAAGAAGTTAATGAACCTGAAAGAAGCGAAAGAGGTATGTAAGGATCGTGACATTTGGCGATCTGTTCTCTCTGGCTACCCCGTTAGGGATTGTGCGTGAAGATAAGTAAAGTAAAGTAAAATAAAACATAGAAAGTAATCTAGGTAAGTGAGAACCCGCATGTTTAAGGTGCTCAATACTAAGTCTGTCATGGCCAGGATTTCCCACGGGACATAGAAGCTATAGTTTTATTGACAATAAGCTACAGTTTAGCAATAATAGACTTAACCCCTCAATCGCTATAAAAATCCCGTGCATTCGCATGCGCCCGGCAAATCCGAGCGCTCGCAAGCGACCGCACCCACCCACAGCACTTAAAACCATTAAAACTTATATTTATAGGCTACTTTTCTATGAAGAAATTTAGCATTATAAAATCTATACAAAATTCTCTGCCTTGTGGTTTAAACAAAAGTCAGGTTTTACTTCATTACAAAAAGATTTTATTGTATTTTGATAACAAAAAAATATATACCAAGCGAATGTCGGCAGCGTGAAAATGACAATTATTTCAATATACAGGGTTACTGGTAACTCGACGTATTCCCGCCAAGGCGTGATAGTTGGGGTCATGACCTATCAAATGAACCATAAAATGCATTATGCAAATGTGGACCAATTTCGAGATATTTAGGTTTAATTATTTTTTTCAAAAATCCCAAAAGTCTGGTGTCAAAAATTTTCAAAAAAAAAACTTATAGCTTTATTATTTTCATTTTATTATTTTTACTTAATGAAAACCTGGAAACTTATTTATCAATACTACAGTGTGCAAAAAGTCTCATCATTTTCGAAGTAACGCTAAATATCCATAGAGATAAAAGATATCTGCGTATTCCTCGTTGGAAAATGATTGCCTTACATGATCTCCGCCTCTTGGTGGTTCCGCCGCCATAAAACTTTGAAACTCAACTTCTTTAAGTGTAACAGGGACGGATATGCGCGCGTGTGTACGATGCCTGTAATACTGATACTGATTGAACAGTTTCTTCTTGTTTAACTTGTTTCTAATTTCACACTAAATGTAAACAATAGCGTAAGTTCAAACGCATAATCTTTTACGAGCATTCCCGCAGCTGTTGATAAGGTTCCGAGAAGCGATTGTTTGGGATTACCCAAAACATTGCTACTCGGAACTTGTCTACCTGACCCCTTTTTTCAAGTTTTTTCTGTACTATTTAAGTTACAAGCTAAAAAAGTGCCCATCTGTAAGCAGTAAACAACAGTTTAAAAACTCTCCACAACAGCGCTAGAGTAGCTAGTAGGTATGAAATGAACTTAGCTTTTGGCGGCGGAGTGAAGTGTGCTGATTTGAGGAATTTATTATTTGTGGTGAGTCTATAATATCTAAAATAATTTAGTAAATATAACCTAGAAAAAGTCGCCGTGATACACCTTGAGAGTGATTTAGAAAACAAGTATTTTGAAAATAATAAAATAATTATTATAAAAAATAATTATGGTAAAAGTTTGTGCAATAAAAAGTTATTTAAAATTTACCCTCGACATGATTAAAACTACTTTTACTGATTTTATCGCGTTTAATTTTACTTTTTATTTACTTTTATTTTTAATTCCCAACGTTTCGGGCGCTTTCCAGCACCCATGGTCACGGGGGACTGAGATGACTGACGTCCCGATGTCATTGTTAAACCAGGAGTCCAGCTTTTTTTTTTTTTTTGTTTGTCGAATCTATAAAAAATGAATTAGTTTGGTTGCCTGCCGGCGGTGGGGCTGGGGTTTTTTTTTAATAGAAAAACGGGAGGGCCCCCCTAATAGGCCAATGGTCACAAACTGCAGACTTGTGATCATATCCTAGACGGACCCAACCATTACATCAGATTTGATAGACCACAAATCCTCGCGAAAGAACACCGATTCCAACCAAGGATGATACGTGAGGCTATTGAAATTAAAAAACATCCTAATTTCAATAGAGAAGGAGGCTGGGTACTACCACCTGCTTGGGATCCTATAATCAATAAAATTAAAACTAAACCCAAGCATACCACTGCAAGACCTCAAGACACAGTCAGTTCATTTTGCATAGATCGGACCATAAACAATAATAAAAAAGCTGAAGGTACTCCGGGTTTAACAATGACATCGGGACGTCAGTCATCTCAGTCCCCCGTGACCATGGGTGCTGGAAAGCGCCCAAAACGTCGGGAATTAAAAATAAAAGTAAATAAAAAGTAAAAATAAACGCGATAAAATCCGTAAAAGTAGTTTTAATCATGTATAGTGTTCGCGTAAATATAAGAAATCATTATTTACCCTCTAGTTACAATAGCGCCATCCTTATTTAGTGCTTTTCTAAGGACACTTTCTAATACAGAGACGGTTCTCGGTTCTCCATGCCTCTATACTCCACGTACTAAACTTTGCTTAAACCGTAGACAGAGATAGGTTTCTCTGTCTACGAATCACTACGAATCACTACGTTTACTCTGTACATTCCATAGACTTAGCACATTCACTTAACATTTTTTAGAATGTTGCCAACTTGTTAGAACGCCATATTGAATTTTGTTGTGCTTCGGTAGAAAACATTGTGAGCACGTGGATTATTACATTTACAATATTGAACTAAATTTTTCAGTTATTAAACCTTTCAGTGAAATCCCTTAATTTATTCAAAGTTGTAATTTAAAGGTGTAGCCGTATTTGTTTGGATATCTACTGTAAGTTAATAGTTTTTATATTTACCGGCAACAAATTAATTCAAACGGCAATAAATTGGATCACGGGGTTCGACCATTCGATCACCTAATTTCCGTAGTAGTCATAATATCGCGATTTAGAAAGGAAAATTTTTAATAAACAATAGATTTAATATTCGAAATTGACAATCTCAAATTGCGTAACCTTTCAATTTATAATTTCATATGTGCTTACGTGTTGTCCATGAAATATTTTACTGCTCGTGACCCTCATCGGACAACATATTACGTAGGTATTATATACGTATGAACTATGAAAAGACTAAAAGCACATGGTTGAATTACCGCTGTGAATGTGCTGTGCTGTGTACGTGTCTCAGAAATGTCAAGCTTTCGCAATTGAAGCTTTTAAAAATTAAAAAATTAGTCCTTATAACGTGCAGTTTTTGAAAGCGAATCTATAGTAACACATTCAGTGTATTCCAAGTATTAAAATGGTTAAACTTATGCTCTCATTTCTATTATCTTTGTGGAAATATTTTGATAATATTTCTATCTAGTATTCTATTTTTGTTTGTGTACCAATAACATACATTAACCTCTTTGCGATCTATGTTAACAAAAAACATGTGACTTTTGTTGTGATAATAACTAACCTATGATCTTACTGTAAAATATTGCGATTCAAATAAAAACTTAAATTTTTTATTTGTAAAATATTGAAATAAAATAAATATTGAAATATTTTTTTATAAATTATTTATTTATGCCTCAGATTCAGCTAATTATCACCTGGAATAGTTCTCATCTTCATAAGCACCTTTTAAATTTCTATTGTCAATAATTAAAATAATCCTTAAATGTAATTTTTAATGATAAGAATTTAATTATACATATAATTAACATGATATATTTATATATATAATATAAGGTTGAATTCTTGAAGGAATATTTTCATAAAGATATATTTACTTTTAGGTTACTTGTAAAAGTGGCTCGATACAATGGCACCATGTCGTCAGTTGCTCATGTGGTCAGTACCATCAATAGCAGTCCTAATTGGTATATTTTGGTTCAAAAAGAAGAGAGAGTATGCCAAATCTGACCCAGGAGGAAGAGAAAGAATTAAAAGTTTAAAAGAGGAATTAGCAGAGGCCTTGAATGCACAAGTTGAACTAAATCGAACAACACCTTTAGGTAAAGTTGAATGTTCTATTATTAAATCTGCTCCAATAGACATAATTCCAAAAGGTAGTGGATCACAGAGGTCTTCTTTAGAATTAACAGATGAAGAAGTTGATATGGAAATTGACAAAATAATTCGAAAGAAGTCACTTGAAAAGGAGAAAAGAGTTTCAACTGAGTTAGATAAACAAATTATATATTGTAACGCATCCACTTCATCAATGAAAAAACATTCACCAATTATACTCAAAGAATCATTGTCCCATTCAGTTTCACCACTTAAATCTGAAATGACTGAATGTAATAAAAGTGATAAAACTCTTGACCTAAAAATGGATATCTGTGATACAGTCAAACAAAATGGAGCAGAAGACCAAGATAGTATAAATAATGTTGATAATGTACTATCTGAAGATAATGTAACAGAACATAGTACTGTTACTGACACTGAAGATCTTAATGTTATTAATGATGATAATGTGGATGTAAATAATGAACCAAGTGAGAGCAATGAAAGCAATAATACATACTCTGCTTCACAGAATAGGCCAATTTCTGACAGGGATTCAGCAAATCATAGTCCAGTAGATCCTTTGTTAGCTAGTCCATCCATGTGTCATTTTTCAGACAGTCACAGTGAGGTAAGTATTGGCCTATTTTAACTGTATTTTACTATTTTTTACTTTCAAACTGTTTCTCATTTCCTCTCAATATTTTTAGGGATCAAATGATAGTGGCAAAGGATGTTCAGAAGCAGCTAGTCCACCTCCAGTTAATTTAAATTTGGTCCCTTCAGAGACAGGACTTAGAATACATCAGTTTATAATTCCACAGACCTTGGTTGGTCTCTTAATAGGCAAACATGGATCATTTGTTAATCAAATTAAAGCCAAAACCGGCGCTAGTGTATATGTTAGAAGACATCCTGATTCTGTAAAACAAAAAATTTGTGCAGTTGAAGGTACTATTTTTATTGTTTTATTTTAGTTTACTATTGTACTTTATGGGAATAAAATTCATAATCACTATTATTTCTTTTAGGAACTCAAAATGAAATTGAAGCTGCTTTAGATATGATTAAAGACAAATTCCCTGAAAAAAGGTTCCCCAACTTTTCAATTCAAGAAATTAGTGCAGAATTATATCAAAGATTAGCACCCTTGGTACCAGAATTTCTCCAAGTAAGTACTTGAGGTTATTACTTAGATACAATTAATGAAAAATAATTTAATAAATGAAAAATTTAAATCTTGAAATAATAATTGATATAAATTTTATAAAAGTAATTATTCATATAAAGTATGTATTCCAGTTTTATTTTTTATAAAGTAGTAAAGCAGTAGCTTCCCACAAATAGTATTTCAATTTTATTTTGTGTGTGTGTATATATATATTGCGGGTCTCAAACCACAAAACTGTTGCTTTTCAGGAGACTAAAAACTTAATAACTTTACTTATGATTTAGCCAGCTCATGTGTTTGCATGTGGCCATATATTTACACTTCAGTTACTATGGGATGATTGCTTTTAAGTTATTACCTCTATAACACTTGTTTTTAGTCCTTACTTCTATTTGGCATTACGGCGAATCAGTAAAACTTCATCAAAATTTGCTTAAATATGTTAGAAATTTATGGACATTAAACATTTTTCCTTAAAATATTAATAATTGTACCAATAGTAATTTGAACCACATTGGTGATTTTAAGTGTTACAATTTTGAAATGACAAACCATCAAAATTAACATTATTTCTGTAATTTAAAAAAAATGTATGCGTGTTTGGCTTGTCATTTATATTGAGAGATGTTTGGTTTCAAAGTAGAAGCATAGACCATTTTTGTCGAAAAAATCGAATAGGTAGCAATTAGACAATATTTTCTGTGTGAAAAAAATAAGCACATAAAAATAAAATTTATTCATAAATCTGAATATAATTATTTAAAATCACATAAAATCATAAATGTCTAAAATTGAACATAAGATATTAGAAGAAACGAAATAAAAGTGAAATCTTAAAGCGAACTTGTAAAAATAAAATTTTATTTATAAAAAAGAGATCAGATTTGAGATTCAAGACACATTAGATTTTCATAGAAAATAAAATTTTAATCTTTAAAAGAAACTTATAGTCATAAAAACCAAGCATAATCAATTCTCTCAAACATTATAAAATAAAATAAATGTTTCCAAAAAATAAGAGCATTGGAAAAATTGCACAAGTGAGGTAAAGGATTCTTAAATTTGCCTTACTTGTCTTATTCAGTTAACAAACAATCTTGGCATGCCTCATTAATGCAATTTACCATTAAAATTATTAAAGGATGACAAATTAGCTATTCTCATTGTAATACTGGTATTAAATATTATGAAGAATTTTTAGTAGGTTTAATATTTTTTAATTTTTTAAATGACTAATTCTGTTAAAGAGGGATGCCAACATAATATACTTAATAATGAACTATAGTTTGTTTATGTAAAAAACATTTTTCAGGTTGATGCAGCAAGCTCAAAGAGGGCAGCAAGGGTTAACTTTTGTTTCTAGGTTGATGTCAAAGTAAGACGCTTTTGCAGCAAGGGTTAACTCTTCGTCGTTATTATTAGCTCCTGTCTCAAAATTTTGTTTCCTACAAATGGCAAATTCTCATGGCTGTGGTAATTCTTTAGAATAGTTCAACTTTACACATAGCCATCATTTTCTATTTTAGTTAAGTCTTTATTTTTAACTTTTTTTATGAAAGTGGTACAGAATACAGATTTGTTTCAATAGAAGAGCTAGAGTAGTTAAATTTGAAGAAAAGTATATCAGAACGTCTTTCCTCACTTGTATCCATCTAATGTTTGCCCATTTTAAAAGTGTGTCATCCGTGGGTCTTAGCGTGTTTCCAATAGAGATATCTCGCATTGCCTTAAATTCTTTGTTGTGTTTGTGTTGTTGTGTTGTTTTTCATAATTTTCCTCATTCTCTTATTGTTCTTCTTCAGGTAACTACTCAAACTTATGTATGACATCAGCATTGGTCTTAAACTTGGTTATAAAGAGACTTTGTATATTTTCTGGGACTTGTTTTAATTACTAACTTCTAAGTTTATATTTGGCTCTAAGTTTATATATGTGTTTGACGAAATCTTGACACAGTAATACTAATATATGTAGACGTATGTACATACATCTGTTGTGATGACTAAATATCCTCAGGATCATGTGGACATTGACGGTCATATGCGCATACATCTTTGTGTCATGTCAAATCTGCTTCATTATGCAATAATTGTGCTGTTATGTCTACTGTACGCCTACATTGGTTTGAGACCCGCGATATATGTTTAAGTTTAATCTGCATATTTAAACGTCAAACTTATTAATTTTACTGTCACTATATAGCTGAAAATGGTACTGTTATTTTTGTATAAACTGATTTTATCGCGTATATTAACTTCTTTATGTTCCTGACATTTTTAAGCCCTTTACAGCACCCATGGTCGTGGGTGGGACTGAAGTGCTCGAAGTCCCAATGTTATAGTTAACCATGGCTACCTCTAGATTATAATTATTAATTTTTGTTCTGGTTTACACAGTATAAACTTATATATCTTGAAGTCTTGCAGTTTGTATGCTTGACTTGGGATTTAATTATAGGATCCCAAGCAGATGGTAGCACCCAGCCATCTTCTCTATGGAAATTAGGATGTTTTTTGATTTCAATGGACTCGAAAATCGTCCTTGAAGGAATCGGTGTTCTTTAGTGAAGATTTGTGGTCTATCAAATCTGATGTAGTAACAGGGACAATGTGTACTGTACATGTTCACATACTGCAGACTTCCCGGAGTGTCGATTCTTTACATCAGCTATGTGTTCTTTATTAGTTAAATTTCATTTATTTTTTTGTATTTTACTATGTCTTCATTAATTGTTAACTGCCTTTGGTGATTCTTTTATTGTTAAATAAGATTTATTTAAAGGGAAAATTAAAGGTGGCAAAATAGGGAATATAGACAAGATTGAGATTGTGTTTTGCTTGATCACCTAAAGGGAAAAAAATAAAAAGTTGACTTTTTTTAAAACCAAAGTGCCCAAATTAACTTAGGAGTCCACCTTATGGCAAAGTGCCACTGCAGCCCATGGACACCTGCAGCCAGCTTCAAATAACAATCTGAGGGCTAGACTATAATGCTCACAGCCTGTATTTATATAGGCGGTCTATCCTCTTCACACTGGAACACAGCAGTGCACGCACTGCTGCCGCTACCCGTAGACACTTCTGATCAGAAAAGGAGTCTTTAAATCACCCAGTAAATCTTATCTATACACTATGTCTTAGCACCAACTTAAAATTGTAAAATCATTTTATTCTTTCTAGTTCTTTGAACTCGGATTAATGTTTTTAGATTAACTTTTTTGTTTTTGTAAATGTAATTTGTCATATTTTCAACATAATTTTTGTCGTACACCACTGAGCATGTACTTTATCAGCATTTTAAATAATTTGTCCGGTAATGTTTTAATAATAGCAAAACATAGTTTATAAAAAAATCTCAATTCTTCACACCAAACCAAAATGTAATTATTTTTGTTAGATTTTTAAAAACAGCTGTGCAAATAATTACAGTTTATAATAAACATTTTTTAAACTGTGCTTTTGTATACTTCTAAATATCTAACCTTTATAAAAAAAAAACATAAGTTAGTGTGAAATATCTGATATGTGGCAATAATTAGAGAAAATTTTACTGATAAATATGGGTGCCCAAAAATTCCAACAGTGAACTGTTTATTTCTTATAGTTTCCAAAGAATTGCAAATAAAACTTAGTGGGTTTTTTGATTAATCTTTATTGGCCTCTTACAAACTGGCGATATATTCTACTGTAGGCTGCATTTTATATTAATACTAGCGATCCGGCCTGGCTTCGTACAGGTGATTTCCGGATCTCGTCAACAGCGCCACCTGCCGGGTCCAATTGTGAATCTAAACCATTCTCAAATAAACTTAATCACACACAACATTTAATCAAAATCAGCCCATCAGTTGAGAAGAGGTTTGGTCACATACGCAAGGACAGAAGAATCTTAATATATATAAATTACGTGTCACATTGTTTGTCCACGATGGAATCCTAAACTACTTAACCGATTTTAATCAAATTTGCACACCGTGTGCAGTTTGGTCCAACTTGAGAGATAGGATAGTTTTTTTGCCCATGAGTGACACACAATTTTTTTTGCGAATTCAAGGATTTTTAATAGGACATGACAAAGGATCGTCAAAAAGGGCAGAACGTCTGCCTGGCAAGCTAGGGATAATATAAATATTACTAATAAGTTTTTATTCGATATAGATTACAGTGTTACTTAGTCTTCACTTTCCGTCATTTATGCTGTACCACAGGTTTTAAAAAAAACCTCTCTCTTGGGAATAATAAACTAGATAAAATTTTTAATAAAACTGGTTTTTACGGATTTTATCGCGTATTTTATATTCCCGAAGTTTCGAGCACTTTGTTACAGCACCTGTGGTCAAGGGGGGACTAAGGTGTTCGCCGTCCCAATGTCGAGATTAAACCAGTTAAAGATTTAAAAAGTTAATATACGTGATAAAATCCGTATAAAATAGTTTTGTTTAAATGAGTAGAATTCGCGTAAACATAAGAAATCTTTAGATAGAAATTGTTAATAGTTTTTGGTTGAATATATTCATTTTTCAATTTAAATTGGAAGATATTTTAAATGTATATTTTTGTGTAATATTTAATCAGTATGTAGTTATTATTTATACATTAAATGATAATATATTAGTTGCAGCTAGTGGAATCGGTCAACAATGACACCATAATGACATGTTTGGTGAGTGCGGGTCACTTCTTCTTGCAACAACCTCTGCATCCAACCTTCCCTACACTGCACGCCTTGCATCGCCTTATGGCGGCCACGTATCAAAATCCGGACGTGCCCTCTCTACCTCGCCCAGTGAAAGGTAACCTCGACATTTTAAAACTGTAACCTTATCTCTTAATTTTAAATTGTAAATTCTTGTGTTAGTGGTTTTCTTTATGCAATATTTTTAAATTCTTGATACTTTACAATGATAACATACTTATAAAAAATTAAATAATATATTATGTCACATTATTAAGTATGAAATGAAAAATTATGTTTTATTAATTTTTGATTTGGTTATAATTATTATATTACAAACTTTGTTAGTATGGTAGTGAAAAGTAATGAAATAAAACACTAGTGCTTAACGCTATTATGTCTTTGATATAACATGAATAGTATAAGTATATGTTTATTTTATTATCTGGAATCATTTTTGTATTTTCAATCCCCAGAGGGCTCAATCTGCGCTGCACCTACAGAGAATAATTGGTATCGGGCACAAGTAATATCAACTTCGGAAGAAAATGACACATCTGTTGTAAAGCTGGTGGACTTTGGTGGATACCTCACTGTTGACAATGATCAGCTCAAGCAGATTCGTTCAGATTTTATGACTTTGCCCTTCCAAGCAACAGAAGCTCTTTTGGCATTTGTCAAACCAGCAAATAATGGTAAATATATATATAAATAAAATTATTATTCTTTTCTACTTTTACTATTTGCTTTTCATTGCAAACGAAACGAAAGCCAAATATATGTATTTTTTCGTTTTTCTTTTTAGGCTTTTGTTTATTTATTATTTCGTTACAAGCAGGAATCTTTAAATAACTTCATTACTGTTTGTTAACATTTTAAAAGTATCTTATATTCAAAAATTGGTTTATCTTTCTTGGATTTAAACCACTTTTTACTATTAAAATAGCTTTATAATTTATTTTAATGCAGTTATATTTAGAGTGTAACAAAGTTTTTAAATGTTTAATTAGTAGTTTAACAACAAAATGCTTTATGTATATGTGAGATATTTAATATTTATTGTCACTTTTTTGCTGTTATCTATACCAACTTAAAATTAAAATTCTCTACAAAGTTATAATTAGGTACCACATTTTATTAATAAAACGTAAATTCTACAATATGTGCTTTTTTTTTAAATAAATTTTCATGATATCTCCATCATCATAATCTGCTTATATATCTTAGGCCGGTATACACATCTCAAATGTATAGTCAAGTCAACATTTGTGTAAATTATTATTGGTGTCGACTCAAATTTTGACATTGTAAAGTTTGACTTTTAATTAGAGTTTCTCCCTGAATATCTTCTTCAGTCACACTGCAAACAGTTTCATAGTTATTTAAGTTCCTAATCTTATGAATTGTTTAAGAAGAATTTCATCTTTATTATATATAAATAATATTGCTTCATATTTTCTATAAAATTATTACAATTTCACACAAGCTTAAACAATCTTATAATGATAAGATTCTCAGTTAAAAATGTAAGCAAACACTTGATTTTTCAACTAAAATAAAAAAGAAAATACACTGGAATTGAAAGTGTGAAATCCACCTAAATGATTGTGACACAGTTTATTCAAAACCTTTCCTTGTTCTTCGTTTGTTATCTCTTCGCCGCCTGGCAGCCAGCCCGAAGCCGAAAGTGTGCGAGTTCGCGGTGTTAAATAGTTGAATTGATTCGTGACATGTATCTGTTATCCCCTATATGTTCAGCAACTAATATGTTTTGACTACGAGTTTGGAACTTTTGTTCATCTCCATTCTACAAGTGTATTTTCTTTTCACATATTATGTAATGCAATATCTTCAAGCTTAGGCTGGCCGATATTTCGGATCCAATGATTGTGAAGTTTGTTTATATTTTTTTAAACAAGGCCACAAATATAATTATAATCCAATATCCTGTTCATTATATTGTATGCTTTGCTATCTTGCTTTTTATAATATTGAGATCTTTCTGTACAACCATGGTTCATTGATATTTTAAATTGTACTAAGTTTAATGGAATCAGTATTAAGTGTAACCATTATTTTTAACATTATTCAGGTAAGTATAACATACACACGATACCACATTTATATGAATTTTTAAAGTAAATGTTCATGACTTAATATCACAGCATTTCAATGTTTTTCCTTACTTTGTAAACGATACATGTACCATGTCTAGCATTGTTATTGATAATAAATACAAACAATTCAATATGATAACTGAATAATTACAGTGATTTATTTTTTATGTGTATATAATTTGTGCAGAGGCAGAATGGAGCAGTGAGGCACTGCGTATAATGGCGGGCCTGACGGCGGGACAGCTGCTCCACGCACAAGTCGCCGGCTACGACGAGGCCGGCCTGCCACTTGTACATCTCTACCTTACGCTTAACCCGCAGGTACATTAATATACAAATACATATATATCCAAATATATTTACCATTTTAATTTTCAAAACATCGTGAGGAAACCTGATGTTCAAGAAATTGAAAAAATCGAAGTGGAATTGCGTTGAGGCAGTGCAATGGTAAAGTAAAGTTACAGCCTGTATACGTCCCACTGCTGGGTACAGGCCTCCCCTCATTTCTGAGAGGGTTTTAGGGCAAGGAAGTATCCGCCGCACTACCCCAAAGCGTGTTGGCGAACTTCACATGTCTTCGAAATAATTTTTCTTCTCTTATTCCTCAGACATGCAGGTTTCCTCACGATGTTTTCCTTCACCGCCGAGCACGTGGTAAATCAGCACTTAAAATTGCAATAAACAATTTCATTGGTGCTGGCGGCGATCGAACCCGGGTTACTCGCGTTCTGTTATATTTACTGCGAGCGTTAACCATCTGAGCTACCACGGCTCTTGTGTGCACCAGTGCAGTGGTAGACAGTAATAATAGGAGACATGTATCTGTATTCAGAGACAATTTCGAATTTTAACTCTAACTTCTCAATGTTAATCTTATAATTCTATAAACAAACCAATAAATAGATTATTTATATGTGTAATTTTTTGATGATTATAATACTAATACCACAAATAGTCTACCACTGAACACTGCCACTGCTGAATATGGGCCTTCCTCATAGATTACCTCATGGGGGAATTTTGCCACGCATAGCGAGCGGGTTGGCAACCGCAGTTTTTTTTATTATTTTGAGTTGTTATCAAGAAGATGGTGCTGCCCTTCTCCTGATTCATTTTCCCTCTGTCACCTGTTACGACACCTTCGGGACAATATCGGCTAGTGGATGTTCTTACACTACCACTACACGGTTAAGTCTCAGTACTATTATGTTATTGTCAGTCATGGACAAAAAGACTCAATATATATATTTATCTAAAGTTTCATATTCGTAAACACACATTTTACGAAAAACACAAGTTTTATGTACAAGAAATTAAATTTTAATGATTTGTTGATTTTTTCAACGTGGTGCACAATTTTATTATTAAATAGCAACACAAATTAATATTTGTTAAGGTTGTTGCTTTCTATTTTACCGCCACATAGTTTCACCTGCCTTGAACTTAGGACTTTTTGACTTATACATTACTTATTGGACAATTGACATATGTAGTGCCATCATTACACTCATTGAAGCCGTCCAAGTTTCATGATGAACATTAGCAAACCCTTAAAGTTAATAACAACCTTCAAAAGTAACCTCAGCACATCATACAATCTTTTTTTTTTGACAAACAAGCACACAGTCCACCTGATGGTAAGTAGATACTGTGGCCTATAGACATCTACATTTAATCTTGATTAAGAATCAAAATGCAGATGCGTTTTCACCCCTGAGGACTAAGATGAAATGCCTCGATTCCAGTAAAATGGGTCTCAGGTTCTCTACACTCACCATATATGAAACACAGCGGCGTTAAGCTGCTATTTTACGATGGTATTCTGTGAGAGCGTGGTCCTTCCCCGGTTGAGCCGACCCATTCGTGCTACTACCATAATATAACTGCACTGTGGATTTACCACGTATGAAATTAGACTAACCAAAGTATATGGAGTACTATTTCTTCATCCCTTTGATATGAAGGCAGTACTTGTATATGAAGGTTTAGGTCATTCAATATAATTTTTAAAAGAAATAAATTTTTTAAAAATTCTGTTTTTTATAAAAAAAATATAAAGTCGACATGCCATGTTTCAATCTCGTAACTGTTACAACCATACTTATAGAAAATTCTCCTTTTTTTTCAGCAAGTGATATTCTTGAATAGAGAGCTAGTAGAGCGCGGTTTGGCGGAGTGGGAAATCCCTCCAGATTCGTGAACGTGTCACACCAGCGCCATTGTCTAAGTTTTGTATCAATGCTGACTAGTAATATGGGATTGCATTTCGGTTAAAGTACTTTAAATTCTACTTTATCATCCATTCTCCAATAGTTTAAGAAACGCAGTCTCGCATTATGAGTTGTGTACTGTTTTAGTATTTTACGTTCCTTGATCTTTATTGCAACTTTAATTATTAATGATCTTTTTGACTGGTAACATAAGTTTTGTGTTTTGACACAGGATGTAACAAAATATACATAATATTGTTTTGTTTTATTTGAAGACTTTTTGAAAATAAATTTCAAATTTGCTTGTTTGAAATCTATTCACAATTTTTCTGTCTGAGCACCCACAACAGAAATTTACAATATGTAAGAATGAGATACATTTCTTTTGATAAGTATACCTTTTTAACTTTCGTAATTTAATCAAGTTACAGTCAGGATGCTCATAATATAGTGGCACCACTGCCCCAGGCATTTCTCATACAGCAGTGCTTTAAAATAACGAATGTTCTGTTATTAGTCATTTTTCTGCTGGTCATTTATGTTTCATATTTTTAATATCAGCATGTGCTTTAAGACTGTTTAAAATGTGCCTTTCAAAGAGATCTCCTTTACTGCAGCCAACGCAATGCAATACATGAATTTCTTAATTCAATGAAACAGTATATTTTTAAATTTGCCAGTTGATGACAATTTTTCTTACATGCAATGGTCTGATAGAATACGGAGTAGTGTAAAGCGTCACTTTGTTGTGTAATTGACTGTTTATCTAATAGTTTTTGTAGATTATTTGTATAATACCTATGTAAAATAAAGTAAATGTTGAGTGTTTGCTTTAGTGAAAGTGTTGTTTTTATGGTATGAATTTGACAAAGATTTTCATATATCATTTTCTCTCGATACAGTCTAAGCTATTATTTTAGAACTTGCTCTGAGAAATTAGCTTTATTAAGAAATAACCATCTCTTATTATGTGCAAACACAATACAATACTAAATTTCTCCAAAATTTATTTTCATAAGGTTATGGTAAATCTTTGAGCAAATTGAGATATTAATGAGCATGTCGGTATTCCTGACTACTTAGCCTTAGTGTAAATAATAGTAAGTAATAAATAAGTAACAACTAAAACAATTTGCATTGTTCTTTAAATAAACTCAGTATTTAGTATTTAAAGTTGGAACATTATTGTTTGTTTTATAGTGATTTTTATGAATATTGTAGAGAACTAGGTAGCTTCAGTTAGCATCAAGATGTGAGTTTGATTTGGTAGTATTGTAGAGTTTGGGAAGTTGTTTTATATAATTCAGAAATCCAAAGTCCACGAACATTGTTTACCACCATACTTCTCGACTTGTAGCTATGTACTAGTACGAGTATAAGAATCAGTTGGTTTTCTGGATAATGGGCTCTCCATTTGCATTTTGTTGAAGTCTTTATTGTACATATACTAATATATTTGCGGTTATATCAATAAATTATCGTTTTAAAAACGAAATTCATTTGACTTATTTCACCGTCCCTACTGCTCACTAAATGCGTATTTAATAAAGTATCAAAATATGTATTATCACATAACATATAGTTGCAATTGTTAATTGGCGTTTGGTAAAATCTATCCTCATTGAAAATAGAGTTGTATAACTATATTTGTATAACCATTTCACTATCTTATATGTAGACAAGTTGCGCTTTAGGCATTGTATATTGTAGTATGTAATTTTTATGGTATCACATTATTCGTAGTCAGTAAAACAAAAGAAACAATAAAAATTATCCTTTTTTATAGTATAGGTAAGTGACTACCGCCACCCATGAACAACTGCACCGCCAGGGAAATCGTAGGTGCGTTACTGATCTTTAGAAAGGAGTAAGCTCTTTTCTTTAAGGTTCCTAAGTTGTATCGGTCCGGCAAAATCGCCGGGGGTAAGCAATTACACAAGGTGATTGTCCGAGAGAAAACACTAACAAAACGCACAGTGGTGGACCGCCGAGCATCCTGATGGTGTGTATGGTATCGTGAGTTTTGTCGCGATGTGCGTTCGTGAAATTTGACGTTTGGAATTAGTCCGAACAATTCCTCAGAGAACTCCCTGTGGTAAATGCGATAGAAAATGCAAAGGGATTCAACATCCCTTCGCAGCGCCAGTAAATCGAGCCGATCAGAAAGAACTCTGTGGTCGACAATACGAGCCGCTCTTCGGTTGATGCGGTCAAGTGGAATGAGCTGGCACTGGGGTGCCCCGGTCTAGTGATAAGGATAGTATATTATTCAGATTTATGATGTTATGTGTACACTATTCCATGTGAGGCCGCACTTGCGCCTTGTAAAGTTGCAGGCGGTGTGCCGGCATGAAACACTGTACCGCTCTGCTAAGCACCAAGTGACCACGAAACTCCACATCAATCCATATATCGACGACGAGGATTTCGATTCTAGCTGAGACAGCAACGGAAGTGTCCTGAAATTGAAGAGATACGACAAAGGGCTTCTTTTTAGCGGTAAACTCACAAATATGTGTCTTCTGAGGGCTAAACTGGATTAGATTTAGTCTTCCCCAATACAAAACAGTTTAACAATAACTCTACTTCAGACACAAGTTTGTTCCGGTACTCGATGACTTGATCCCGAGAAATATTGGCCCGGCTGGTATCAAAATTGTCACTCGTGCTGTCGTCGGTATAGAAATGAATACTAATAGACAACATATTGATATGCGGATGGAACAGCGTAGGTGATAGCATACAACCTTGTGGAACACCAGTATTGATAGGCCTGTAATTGGAGCAGAGAGTCTACTAACGACCTTGATATTCCGATCAGCGAGAAAACTGGTAATCCAATTGCACAATTTCTCGGGAAGTCCATAAGATGGAAGCTTCGAAAGAAGCGCTTTGTGCCAAACGCGATAGAAGGCCTTCGCTATGTCCAAACTAACCGCCAAGGCCTCCACCTTGGATTTTATTGCCTCCGCCCATCTATGAGTTGTGTAACCCAGATCACCAGTTGAGCGACCCCGACGGAAACCGCACTGGCGGTCATTAATCATCTGGTGCTCTTAAAGATATCGCATAAGCTGGCAGTTAATGATGGACTCTATTATTTTGGAGAACAAGGAGGTGATGGTGATTGGCCTGTAATTGGACGGATCAGAACGATTTCCTTTTTTAGGGATTGGGTGCACGAAAGCTGTCCACCAATTTGGAGCTATGCCTAGGGAGTAGATGTACCAGAAAAGACGCATTAGAACCGGTGCTCACTGAGGAGCACACGTCGTCAGCACAATTGGGGGGAATCGTCAGGCCCACTCGACTTGTGGATGTCCGGGGAGAGAAGTGCTTTGCTTACTAAGCACTACTTTTACTACTTGGAGTACCCACAATTCTAAAAATAAAGAAAATATATACTAATAGTTCGAGTTTGCTATTTAAGTATATATTATGATAAATAATGTTCCTACTCCCCATTTAATGTTTTAGGTGATTTCGATACTAAAAAATGGTTGACCCTGTAGGCCATCCCTGGAACTTCCCGCTAATTTCAAATACAAAGCACTCCAAATTTCACCAAATTATGTTGCGAAATCTCGAAGTTATGTAAAACAAAAAAACTTTTTACGAATTCTTTCTCCTTCGATATGTCACGAACGAATGAACTGATTTTTATTTTTCAAACGGCATTCGAAGTCATTTTTAGAGGTTAAGAGCTGATTAGTTTTTGAAATCGATTGGTAAAGCCGTTTAAAAGTTATACCAAAAAAAACAGTTTTTCAAATTTTTTATTTTTAGATTTCTCAAAATCGTTCATATTATCACCAAATATATTCCACATTGAGATCTTTAGAAAACCGTATCTCAATCGATCAAGACGTTCAAAAGTTATGAAAAGTTTACATACACACACACATACATCCGTACGGACGTCCACGTGAAATTAGAATAGCTTCCTGGGATCTCAAAACGTCGAGATCTGATGCTTGATTTTCGAAAAACACCCAATGGTTTCACCCAATAACTTCCCTCTTTTTGAAAATTTTCAATTTTCTTAGCGGGAAGTTAATAAATAGTTGCTAAAAAATCTTCTTTGTAGCTCAAACCGGTTTCATGAAAAATAAGATGAGTACATACTGTTTATCTCAACCTTAAAATAAAATAACCAAACAATTTGATAAATACCCTTTTACTTATTTCTGTTATCGAAACAGCTGGGCGTGCACGTATGAAAAGTATAGTCAATATAATTACACCTGAGAGGCATTCCATCTTAGTACTTAGTGGTGACAATGCACCTGTAGCCTTTTTTGCTTAAGGAAAAAACTTGGTAAGACGCAGTTCGGGTACACGTGCAATACTGTTCTCATCTCTGGGTAAGCACCCCAGTCAGTGCCTGATTTAGAGTTAAGACAACCCTAGACTAACCATGAATACCCCCCTCATCGGCCTGTTCTGTCTTAACTTGCCCAGCCCATGAATATATTTACAAGATTTTTATATCTTACTAGCGTTCCACCCCGTGGTGTGTGTGACTACCATTGCCCATGAACAACTGCAACAGCAGGGAAATTGCAAGTGCGTTGCCGGCCTTTTTAAAAGGAGTAAGTTCGTTTCATGAAGGCCGCTAAGTCGTATCGGTCCGGAAAAATCCGCAAAGAAGTCTTGCGAGGAAGGAAACTACTAATAAATCGCACAGTCATGATGAACCGGTAAGCATCCAGTTTGCCTGGATGAATTTTGTCCCAATGCGCTCACATATGGCAAGGCATACTTCAGCATGCCGAAGAACCCTGTGGCATGCCGAAGGACCCCGTGGCATCCCGCGGCATTCCAAACAAATCAAGACGGGCTCGTGTATAGGGCTAGGGCGCTCGCGCAACTCACTGAGATCGCCACCGAAACGGGATAAATTCAACCTTGTTTCAATTACTTAGCACTCACATTCCTTTTAACAACATAAAGTAACCTATGCGTTTCACGTGATCGTCTAAAACAGACACATTTATCCTATATTATATGTACCCAACACCAGACCTGACAATGGACAAATATTGAAACCACATTCAACAGCATGTATAATTCTATCAGGATCGTCAAGAATGTCTTCGGCATGTTCAGATTGGACATGCGCGCCGCGCCGCGCCGTCAAATCCGATCGGCGCGCCGAGTAGAGGTGTGCGATGCAAACCGCATACTGATACGAAATCTATATATTGGTACAATATCTAAAAACCGCTTACTGCTTCGTTTCAAAACTATGTATTACAAAATCAGATATTTGCATACCGCCGCGCCGCGATGCCTATATCGCTTCGAATCGGTCGGTCGCTAGATTCGTTCCATAACTATATATTATACAAAATCTGATATACAGAGGCTGCACTAAAAGTATCGGGAATGGAATATTTCCACTGTTCCTGTCATATTAGAATCTTTTTAATCGAAAACTCCTTGGTTTTAAAAATCGAATACCATTTATTTATTTAAAAAAAAGATTCTCGGTCTTGTCACAAGGTTTTGTCAAACTTGTTTAGTCGTTGAGAAAATGGAATTGACTCGAGAAAATTCAAGAGCGATAATTTATTATGACTTTCGAAGTGGTTTAACACAAAAACAGTGTGTTGACCGGATGATTTCTGCATTTGGTGATGAAGCCCCATCCAAAACCACAATTTATCGCTGGTTTGCTGAATTTCAACGTGGACGTGTCAAGCTCAGTGATGATCCCCGTCAAGGTCGTCCAAAAACTGCAGTCACCCAAGAAAACGTTGATGCTGTGCGTAAGCTGATTGAGGAAGATCGACATGTGACATACCGCGAAATTCAGGCAACTTTAGACATTGGCATAAGTCAAATACAAATAATCTTGCATGAACAATTAGGTGTAAACATTTTTTTTCCCGATGGATACCGCATTCGCTCTGTGAAGAGCAAAAAGCGGCTCGCGTTACTTGGTGCGTCAGAACTCTCGAAAGATTCCACGCAGGATCCTAAAATGCTGTATACAACATCGTATCAGGTGACGAATCCTGTATATACGCGTACGACCCGGAACAAATAACCAGTCACGAGTTTGGGTGTTCGAAAATGAGTTAAAGCCAACAAAAATTGTTCGTTCACGGAGTGTTGCAAAAAAAATGGTGGCCACGTTTGTCTCCGAAACCGGCCATGTTACGACTATTCCTCTTGAGGGACAAAGAACGGTTAATGCAGAATGGTATGCTAGCATTTGTTTGCCACAGGTCGTTTCTGAATTCCGTAAAGAGAACTGCAACCGCCGCATCATCCTCCATCACGACAATACGAGTTCTCACACCGCACACGGAACGAAAGAGTTTTTAGAGCAAGAAAACATAGAATTATTAGACCATCCGCCGTACAGCCCCGACCTAAGCCCTAATGATTTCTATACTTTCCCAAAAAAAAAGAATAAATTGCGTGGACAGAGATTTTCATCACCTGAAGAAGCTGTGGACTCCTACAGAACGGCCATTTTGGAGACCCCAATTTCCGAATGGAATGGTTGCTTCAATGATTGGTTCCATCGTATGGAAAAATGTGTCAAATTTCACGGAGAATACTTCGAAAAGCAATAATTACATTTTTAAATAGTAATGTTGTGTCACTTCCTTGATTCTCGAAATTTTCAGTGCCGCCCTCGTACCGCCGCAATACCTATATCGCTCCGCATCGGTCAGTGGCTAGATTCACCGTGTGCGACAGTGCGCGAGTAATATGGGTATTAGATTAGGCATGTCGGAAAATTAAAATCTTATATTTGTACACTACACTAAATAATAAAAACAAAATTTCACTAAATCTTAATTAACTTCTCTAGTATTTATTTTTCCAGCTTTTTAAATATATCTCTTAAAATATTTTGATAAAAATTTAAAATAAATAATATTAAACTGACGCGCTTCGTTAAAATTACTATAAAACAATACCTTTTTTTTTTAACATCGGGAAATGCCTACGCATACCCGCCTCGCGGGGGCAAGGACGGGTTATGTCGGACTCGCACCGACTAAAACCCCATGGTGTTCCACCTTCGTCGCATATTGGCAGGGCTACGGGAACGCTTTCGCACACTTCCGCGGCCCCACCAGCGACTGCCGCCCCATGGCAGCACCTCATCGGGAGAGGAATATTCCTCCCCGTTCTCCTTCCCAAGTAAGGCGCACCAGAACACATGGCACGCCTTCCTCCACGGCCTCCAATTGCGTCTGCGCAACAGACGCCCCCGTGTCCGATGCGCGAAGGCCATGGGGCCAGGAAAAACGAGCACTTAGAAGTACTAGCCTTCCCGACCCCAGCGGCGGATCTGGTCTATGGCTCCGCCGCCAACCAAGATTCGGCTGCGGAGGATAGGGAGAGCGGCGCCTCGCAATACCGACAATCCTCTCCCCCCGCAGCCCCATCACCACCGCATCAACGGTGCGGCCCCGTTTGAGTCGCGGAGGATAGGGCGAGTGGCGCATCGCCATACCAACACTCCTCTTCCTCCGCGACTCCACCTCGGCTGCAGCGGTAGAGGGTGCGGAGTCTCCACTCGCTGCAGTCTACCAGCACACATCCGAAGTGGGCTCCCCAAGCCCACTCGGAGTGGCCACCTCAGGCCGGCCCTTCACCTCGGGCCAGCCACGTGGGTTCCTCTTTGTTCACCGTGGGAGACCAAACCACGGCTACTAAGCCTCCCCGCCACGACAAGGCGGGAACCCGTTCAGGGGGGATAAAACAATACCTGAGCCAATATCGTAACAACAACGTACATAAGGTTTAACATCAACCACTAATGAATTAAGTCAAAATCGTTTTCAACACTTAAAAGATTTAACGGCAAACGATTTATTTTTATGATAATTTTCAACAACAAGTTCAGTATTAAATATTGCATATAAGTTTAACTTTAAGTATAGTTTTATACTTTGCATGTGATTGTTGCATCCTACATGGCTAAAATAAAATCTTACGTCAAAACTGTCAGCACAGGAAATCTTAACAAACATTTATGAGTTATGAGATGACCATGACTTAAGAGAAGAAAGTTCTCATAAAGCCACACAAAATATCATACAGCTTTTTGAAGTGCGACCACGGCCACCACGCTCAGTAGCGACTTCAAATAGCTCATTAACAAAAAGGAAAGATTTATGGTTACTTGTGCGAGATATGGCTATCTGGTTTTGCAAGTCTTTGATGCCATTCTGTTCGGTGTCAGATGAAGGCATAAACGATTTTTTTCAAGTAAGTGTTTTAAGCTACATGAAGTTAAGCTTTGATTTGCTATTTTGTGTATTCGTTTACGTAAATGTTATGAGATTTAGTATGTTAAAAATGATGAAATTGTAATTTTAAAAATATGGTATCATCGCTACGAAAGAAGACACAGTGTCTCGCGCTGCTCTCGATGGTGTCTGAAAGTATGCTGGACAATGTAAAAGTTCAAATCAAAACATGCAGCTATTTGATATATGGTCTGATCAGTATAGACATCTAAACTACATAACGTTCACTCTTCATTATTTAACCACTGGTAAGTAACCTTTACAAACATTTGTCCTTAATAATAATATTATTCTGACTAATTACCTACTTATTTTATGTTACCTATGTTGCAGATTTTAAGCTCAAATCATTCACGTTGTGCACTAAGCTTATCGAGGGCAAAAAAACTGGCGAGAAAATACAAGCGATATTAAATGACACAAAAGAATGCTTTGATCTTCAAGAAAAAATACTTCACTCTGTGAAGGATGCCGGGTCAAATGTTAAACGCGCCATTTCGCTTGCCTTTCTAGACAGTCATTTTTGCTTAGGGCATGGACTGCACTGTGGACGGCTGTGTTCCTAAATTAGAAAACCTAATAAAAAAATGTAAAAAGATCTTAAAAACCGTTCGGTATCGCTTACCGGAATTGGAGCAAGCGGCGGAAGAAGAACAAATTCTATTTTTACAGTCTCTGGAGTGCGTATCAGAACATTTGGAGATGGAAGATAATGAAACAATTATTGATGATAGGGGTCAGAGTCAAATTCAGTTTCAGGACTACAAACAAGCGATGAATTTGGTAACAAATCCATGTATCAAGTATCAAAACCTCATCGACAGCCCGCTGGGATAGTATGCTAGCTATGCTAGAAATTCTAGCACACTTTTACAACAGAAATTCTATGTTGTCTGTTATAACATATGTTGTATATGTTGTCATATGTTGTCACAGATCAGTCAGCATGATTTAAAAATTTACCAGCAAGAGTGGAACTTGTTAGAAGATCTTATTAGATTTTTATGTAAATTCCGTGAGGTCGTGGAAATGCTAGCGACACAAAAGACAGCTTCTCTTAATTTGCCCCTGGCGTTTCATTTAGAAATTAGAGATATCCTCAATTCTTTGTCCGACGAAGAGACACTAATAATGCTAATACTGAAAAATAAAATGTTAGTAAAATTAGACATCATCATCATCATCATCATTACAGCCCTTCACAAGTCCACTGCTGAACATAGGCCTCCCCCAAGTAATGCCACAAAGCACGGTCCTGAGCCACCTGCATCCATCGACTTCCTGCATATCTTACCAGGTCGTCACTCCATCTAGTGGGGGGTCGCCCTACACTACGCCTACCGGTACGAGGCTGCCACTCGAGAACCTTTCTTCCCCATCGGTTATCGGTTCTTCGAGCTATATGGCCGGCCCATTGCCACTTCAGCTTACTAATCCGTTGGGCTATGTCGGTCACTCTGGTTCTACTGCGGATATCCTCATTTCTGAGTCTATCACGCAGAGAAACTCCGAGCATAGCCCTCTCCATAGCTCGCTGAGCGACCTTGAGCGTCCTCATACGGCCAGCAGTGAAGGACCACGTCTCTGATCCGTAAGTCATCACTGGCAACACGCACTGGTTGTACACTTTAGTTTTCAGAGATTGAGGTATACCTGACGAGAAGATGTGTCGTAATTTCCCGAACGCTGCCCAGCCGAGTTGAATCCGTCGATTGACCTCTCGGTCGAAGTTGGACTTACCTAGTCGGACTATTTGTCCCAGGTAAACGTACTCGTCAACAACTTCGAGCATAGTGCTCCCCACAACTACCGGCATAGGTGTGACATGGACATTGAACATAATCTTTGTTTTGTCCATGTTCATCTTAAGACCTATCCGTTGGGAGACACCATTGAGGTCATTGAGCATAGTGCTAAGGTCCTCCAGCGATTCTGCCATAAGGACTATATCGTCGGCAAATCGAAGGTGAGTGATGTACTCGCCATTGATGTTAATACCGTATCCTTTCCAGTCCAGTAGCTTGAAAACATCTTCCAAAGCAGCGGTGAAGAGTTTCGGGGATATAACGTCACCCTGTCTTACACCTCTCTGCAGTTGGATAGGTTTCGAGCTCTGGTTCTGTACTCGGATAGCCATCGTAGCCCTACTGTACAAACACTTCAGCACTTCGATATACCGACAGTCAACTTGGCACCGCTGAAGGGACTGCAGCACCGCCCAAATTTCGACGGAATCAAAGGCTTTCTCATAGTCCACATACGCCAGGCAAAGTGGCAAATTGTACTCGTCAGTCTTCTGTACAATCTGCCGCAGGGTATGTATGTGGTCTATGGTACTGAAGCCTTTTCGGAAACCGGCTTGTTCGGGAGGCTGGAAGTCGTCGAGTCTGCTTGCGAGACGATTCGTAATGACTCTCGAAAACAGCACGTAGACGCGGCTCAGAAGGGAAATCGGTCTGTAGTTCTTCAAGAGAGCGTTGTCGCCTTTCTTAAAGAACAAGACCACCGCACTTCTGCTCCACGCCTCTGGAGTAGTGCCACCATGGAGGACGGAATTGAAGAGCTTCTGAAGGACTTCAAGTACCGGTGTTCCACCCGCTTTCAGAAGCTCCGCTGTAATTCCATCCTCGCCCGGGGCCTTGCCGTTTTTAAGGTGTTGGAGAGCCATTCTAATCTCGCTCAGACTGACGTCCGGGATATCATCGGAATAGTGTCGGATAAGACTTGCTCTTGGATCGTTACTCACACTTGAGTGTGGCTCCAACGATGATGTGTACAGCTGCCCATAGAACCTCTCAATCTCACTCAGAATCTCAGGTGTCCCGGAAACGATGTTGCCACACTCAGTCTTCAGCCTTGACAGTTGGCTCTTTCTGGCAGACAGATCTCTGGCAAAGACTTTGGAGCCCTGGTTCCGCTCGATCGCTTCTTTAATACGAGAAGTATTAAAGTTGCGTAAGTCTCGCCGCATGCATTTGGAGATCTGTCTGTTCAGTTGCCTGTATGCCGTCAAATCTGTTGACGATTGCAGCCTCATCTCCCGTCTAACAGCCATGAGATTAAGAGTATGATCGGAGAGTTTTTGTGTTCTTCTGCGGCGGGTCTTGCAGAACTTAGCTCCGACCGCATGGACAGTTTCCACGAGCTTGTCGTTCATATCGTCCACTGCATTGTAATCTTCTAGGCACTGGAAGCGGTTACGTAACTCGAGCTGAAAGGTTTCGGGATTCTGGATTAGAGCACGAGGGGGACGGAGCGTTGACTTCATTAGACGAGACCTCTCCAACTTAACGTTTAGGTTCAGTGTGCCTCTAACCATTCGGTGATCGCTGCCAGTTTTCACCCTTGCGATCACTGAGACATCACTGAACAGTTGGCGTCTGGTCGTCATAATGAAGTCAATCTCATTTTTTGTCGAACCGTCGGGGCTCGACCAGGTCCACTTCCTGTGGGGCCGCTTCTGGAAGAAAGAGTTCATCATAAAGAGTCCCTCTTTCTCCATAAAGTCGGCCAGCTGCTGGCCCCTTCGGTTCCGTTGCCCTATTCCAAATTTCCCTAACTTCAGCTCACCGTTTTCTCTTGTGCCTAGTTTTGCGTTGAAGTCTCCCATCAACACCGTGTAGTGGGTTTTGGAGGAATGCATGGCTTTGGAAATATCCTCATACATTTCCTCCACCTCCTCATCGGAATGTGCCGAGGTTGGTGCGTAAACCTGTATGACCTTCAGCGAATACCGTTTGGTGATTCTGAGTATCAGGTACGCGACCCTCGTCGACACACTCCCAATCTTTACAACGTTGTTGACGAGAGACTTGTGGACGATAAATCCGACACCTCCTTGGGACAGATGGTCGCCCTCCCGGTGATAGAACAAGTTGCCGGATTCGAGAATCACCGTGTCCTCCCCCTCTCTTCGGACCTCGGATAATCCTATAATACTCCAGCGCAACTTGTCTATCTCTTCTTCCAGCTCCAGGATCTTCTCGTCAGTCCTCAGTGTGCGTGCGTTAAATGTTGCCAGGTCGAGTCGTCGTAGGTGGCAACCGAACCTCCACCGGAGATTCTTAGCACCCCCTGCCCCGCCGTTACCATGGTCGCCACCGTAGCCAGGAATAGCGGAGCCGCCGGGGACTGGGGGCCGTCTATTTGTGTAATTGTTCATGGGGGGGTATATTGCCATAGTTGCCACGCTTGGCGAGCGGGTTGGCAACCGCAGTTTTTTTTTTTTTTTTTTTTTTTTTTATTAGACAAGAGATTCCGAATTACTGATAAAATTGTAGTTGTGGCACTGGAGGCACTGTAGTACCTCGAACAAAAGAATAGTACTCGTGCTGCATTTTTAGCAGATTACATAAAAAGACAGGTCAATATTTCAGTTGAATCCAGGACGATGGCCACATTAGCTCCTGCTGTTATTGCTAGTTCTTCCAATGAATCTGTTTTGTCATAGCTTTCGAAAAAACGCAACGGCAAAGGTACCTCCTCTATTTTAGCTTATACTGTCTGTAATGAAGCCGATCAAGAATGCTGGAGGTACTTGGCAGCTGCTAATGCTTGTGATGTTAAAGACGACGACATTTTAAATTATTGGCAAAATAAGAAAAAAACATTTCCGCTCTTAAGCGAACTTGCGAGGATATTCCTGTAAAATCCTGCGACCAGCACGCCAAGCGAGCGCGTTTTTTCTACAGCAGGACTAACTGTGACTGCTAAAAGATCTAGAATAAACCCAGTACGCGTTAATAAAATTATTTTTATTCATGATAATTACATTTTGTGCAAAAAAAAAACGCAATTTTAATTTCTTACAATTTGTGCAGAAAAGATGTGCTTTTTAGTTTTTTGTAAAAAATATAAGGTATAATTAATTAGAATTTGTTCGGTTTGTTTTTATTTTGAGAAATTAAATTTGAGTTCCTATCCAGGTCTATGTTTTACTTGTTACTACCTTATTTTAAGTGAATGTTTACGAAAAATTTAAAAATACGCCGCCGCCGCCAAAGTCTTGCTCGGCGCGCATGTCTAGTTCAGATATTAAGAATTTTCTTCATTTTCTCAGGCTTTCTTCCGTGTCCCGGCTTCGTTGGGTTATAGATTCAGCGTGTCATTGTGCTACATCTGGATGCGTTTCCAGGAAGCTATTAAACCGTTTTCGTCCTGAAATTCCACTGTTAAAGAGTCTTTTCCGGCCTTCCTCTCTTATAATTTGGCTAACTGTTTCCAATAAGCGATCCTTCGTGATGGGGATTCTCTTTTTAGCGTTAGCGTCAATCCACCTAATTAATAGCAACTCTTGTGGGGCTTAGATAGTTGGTGGTTCCATTTCCGCCTTACAGGTTGTCTCATTTTCAGTTTGTTAACAGCAGATGAGTGAAGAACATAATATTTTCTACATGTTTGTCTTACTTTAGGGCCTTTATGAATTTCGTCAAGACACTTCAGCAGATCTTTCTCTGTGTATTTAAAAATGTCTTTGGGGACATCCGCAATATAAAACAAGTAAAACAACGAGGAGCAAAGTTAAAACTCTAATCTGGTGGTCATCTGTAGCAACACTTACTTCTTTACTACTGTGTACCACCAGCAAACCAGTGGTCGATAACTGGGGCACAACGCATAAAGCTATTTTAATGATTAGCTTAAAGCTCTACATTGTTAAATAAAAGCATCGCCGTGAAAAAAAATATGAAAAGAAATAAAACACCATAGAAAACCAGTTACAAACCAACTATAGGAACCCAATACAAGGTTTGTTCCGGTAGTTAACCACCTTTAAAATACTTGATAATGTGATTATTTATTAAAAGACTGCTTAAATAAATAATTAGTTTTGAAAA